GTTGTTCGTTTTTAGAAGCCCCTCATAATCTGAAGCCCTAACTTAAAATGTACAGTGGACCCTCGACTTACAGACGGCTCGACTTACAGACTTTTCGAGTTACAGACTTCTCTGGCTGCAAAATTTAGATTCGACGTGCAGCCAGAGAATCGACTTACAGACCAGAAAAAAAACAAAATGGAATAAAAATAGAATAAAAACCACTGGTTATGGGATTAATCGGTTTTCAGTGCATTGTAGGTCAATGGAGATTCGACCTACAGACTTTTCGACTTGCAGCCACCATTCCAATACGGATTAATTCCTTAAGTAGAGGGTCCACTGTACCTTACTTAGCTTGTATTTAAACTCAGCACATTAAATGGAAGATAATTTTTGTTAACACAAGGGTATAGTTCTAAGGCATCTTTCTAGAGCTGTTTCCTACACCTGTGATGACCACACAAATCAAAGAATGGTCACTCTGTATTCAGTTTGTATGAGGACCTCAGTGGTGAAATGGCTTCTATGGTGAAAGAGCCCTTTCTCTTTATGATGAAAGAAGCAAAGGTTTTATTCATTTTATCTCTCTCTTAGAATTAGAATACAAGGAAAACCTAACAGAGCATGGACAATTTGTATCCTCACAACAATGAAAAATTTCCTGTTAACCCTACCTATTCTGTTGACTGCATGTAGTTAATTTTGTCTTATCAACCTACACTAATATCTCTCTCATTTATTATCTCTAAGAAAAGTCTAGTACAAGTGCCCCATAAATACAAAGTAACACAGCAGTGTATAGACAGAAAATACTATTTTGGGGTGGGGGTGGGGACTTTTGAACTAGTTATAAAAGCTATTTCAAATTCTTTGAAGACTGGATTGAAAGAACACAAATTGCTAGGACTCATTTGGAGTGAAGACAGAAGTAATGGTTTGAAACAATGCGGTTTTAACCATAGTAAGAAATGGCAAGTGCTTTTCGTGATCCACCGTGTATACAATTCATATATAGCTTAGATATGGCACTCATATCCACTAATGATTCCCAAACATTTTGTTAAGCAGGACAAACATTAATAGGATTACTGTGTGCCTCAGGCCTACCTCCTGTTGACTTTGGCTCTCAACCAGAAATTGAAAGCTCTTTGGATCTCATTATTTCCAATAGTCATTTCCTCACCTTCTGTGACTCTCACCCATAAACGTCTTGTACCCAATAGCAGTTGGATGGCTTTCCAGTTGTTTGGGAACCATTGTTGGGATGTGCAAGTTTGTTAAGAACAATTTGCTAAGTCAATATTATAGTTACATGTTCTATGTTCATAGAAGGCATGTTCACAGTGAGCAGGATCCAGAACATGCTAAGTGAGGTAGGCTTGAAGCAGACCCAGCTACATTTTCTTAAAATTGTGGATAAAAATATGACAACTTTTCAAATATGAAAATTAAGAAATAGAACAGCATTCTTTGCTAGTTTCATAATATCACAGTTCTAGAAATATTTTAAAATTAAAATACTGTATGAAAAGTTGCTACATCTTAAAAGAAAGCACCATTATTTGCAAGTTTATGAGGAGAAACTATTATTTTTCACTGGGTTGGATCCAAAATTTCCTTTCCTCTAGTGAAAGCCATTTTCTGTAAGAAGTTCCTGGAAGAAGTTCTATCTGTGGAAGCAATCTTTCAATAAAAGATAGCTGCTTTTTCCAGAGGAAAGATGTATTTCTGTCAAACCTAGGCTTAATCTTTCTTTGCTAGCCACAGCTTTTTAAAAAGCTCCACAATGTGCTTCTTTTGTAATTGGAGAGCACAAGGGCTGGAAGATAAGGTAGTTACAGGTATTGCATGGAGATTTCTCCACCCTGTATTGTTCCAATATTCCCCCAACTGTGTTTTAATCCTTTGCCAATAACGTTATCTGGTATAGACTGAAAGTATATTGAGTTCCATGCAAAGTTCCACATCAAATGTCATGTGTTAAGAGATGGGTAGATTTAAACCAGTGCATATGAACAAGTTTTATGCATCAGTTGGGCAAAGCCCAGCCAACCAAACCTGATGGTGGTGTTAACATAGCAACCACAAATTTCTAGTTACAGCATTTTCAGCTTTTCTCTGAAAATGTATCCCTCTCAAAATGGGCGCACACAGTTGCACTTCACCATCAATTTCAACCCAGCAGAATATTCACCTGTCATCACATATATATTCAGACCAGCGATAATGATTAGACCCACCTGAGTTCTGACTGAGCAGAGGATGCCTACTCTCTGGCTTGAACTTCATTGGTTCTAGGAGTCCTAGTTTTAGGGTGGCCATGTGAGACGGAATCTAGGGCTCCTGTATCTGTAATGGTTGTGTAGAAGAGCTGATGCACTGTTGTTATGCAAGCTACACCTGCTGAAATGTCCTCCTCCATGCAACTCTTGTCCTCCATTTCATGTGGTTACCCCATTTACAAGGTTGTGGAGGATTTGGGTGTCCTTGCCTCCACCTGCAGTCTGAAATGATGCACCTCAAATACCAGTACATCACACAGGACTCCAGCTTCTTTGTTATCTTTCTGTGGAAGGACAGTATGTATATACTGTATGAAGGTATGTGGGCATGCATGCACATACAAAGAATGAGTAGGAAAACAATACTATGAAAAGACAGAAATGAAATTGGAAAAGTATTTGATAATGCAAGGTATTCTCTTGACCTAGGAAAGCATTTTCTAAACTCCAGCTTATTGGCATGCTAAAACTTAAGTACAGTGTTCCTTTGGTTACTTAAAGCAGGGCACAAACCTCATAGACTTCTTCATTAAATCATTTATTTGGCTATCATAGTTTGCCTAGTACATAGTTTCTTCCTTGAGGAGCAAAAGAAAGGCATGGCTGTTACTGATGATGACTTCCATCCCCTTACAGCTTGGACTGTTTATTTGAAAATGGTTGAGGAGCAAAAGAAAGGCATGGCTGTTATTGATGATGACTTCCATCCCCTGTTTATTTGAAAATGTTAAGTTCTGGACAATCCAGCCCAGCATCATAGGCACTGTAGCTGAACACTTCTCCCTCCCCCTTCCCTTTGTGCACCGGCTTTGCTACTCAGTTCCTAGCTTATCATGTTGACTAGTTAAATGAAACTGAGCCAGATGCTGAAACCCAGTAATAAATAGACTAAGTCCACTGTAACTGAGTTACAGAGGAGTTGACTCCCTAAATCCCCACTGACTCATTAGGCCTGCTCTAGTTGTGAGTTACTACTGTATATACTGTATATATGGTAGGGCTGCCATGCCAGCAACATTCCTTTCCCTGAGATTTCAGGGACAGAATTAAGACTTAGTGGTGTGTCCTGAAGCTTCAGGTGGCAGATCTTTCAGAGCAATTGCAAAATGATGTGCATGTGTGACAATGTAAAGACATAATGATGAATGTAAAGAAAAGTGAAATGCTGCTATAAAGGGTCTGCCTTCCCGTTTCTGTGGGGAGAGACTTCCAGGTTGAAGGCTAGATCACATAGTGAAAAGGAAATGTATTGCTAAAAAGGAAAGTAATATTGTTTTCTATGTTAAATGTGGTGGAAGGATCTACTTGTAGATATCTGGGTGATTTGCAATATATCAGAATGAACTCTCAAGCCATGCCATGTGAACAGTCTCCTGCCTGAGAATTCAGGACCAAAGACTGACAACCTTAGATATCATAGATGGACCAAGAACTGAGCATGGAAATCAGCAGGAGGGGAGAGTGGATCAGAGTGCTCACCCAATGTGGATTCTTGGCTACAGAAACCACTGTTTACTGTAAACCTTAGTTTATAAATCTGTGATGGTTTGGACCACACCTGAGGAATAAACTAAACATGACATAAAATACATCTCTGCAGTTTGGCCCTAAGGTCCCAACTGTTACTCATCAGTATGTTAGCTCTGAAAGATCATACTGTTTAAAGATCCACCCAGCTGATAGCAACAAAATAACTTCGAAGGATTTTACTGCAGTCCTGCAAGATACATACACAACTTCAACTCTCTCAATACTACAGCTGATTACAGTGGTAAAGCATAGGGGACTAAATCCAGTTGCTAGTCCCAATTAGAGCTGACCATAGGACATATATAGGTGCCGCCTCAATGGGCTGTTCTCATTCAGTGGGTCTACTCTAGCTGGGATGTGCAGATGGATTGCCTGAAAATGTTTTACTTCTCAGGGTGTGTTCTAATACATTGTTCCCCCCCCCCCTTAGTTACACATTCTTGAAAACATTGTTCAGGTTGGCAGGAAATCCAGGCTAGAGCCAGTGCTTAGTGCTCTAGCTCCATGTTTACTTACTGAAAAAGGGATTACTCATTAAGGATGTATTTGCAACATCCAGCAGTTTTCTTCTTCTGTTGCCTTTTTTTTTTTGCATATATGCAATTTGCACCCATAGAGAAAAGGTGCTCATTGTGAGTGAGAAAGTTCATCACAGTCCAGTTTGTCAGGCTGCAAAAAGAAGATGGAGACAGGGCTACTACAATATAATAACAAGAAGGCTAAAAGAAGGGGGCACAGGACCATCCCAAGATGTTAAAGATCTATTATTATTATCAAGCAAGTATGAACTGTATATGTCAACTGCTCCATATCCCAAAATTCACATTTAATTGAGCAGATATTTAGTTTCTTTTACTAAAGCCTGCATATTATTTGGTTGAAATATGGTGTACCGATCATTACATTAATGTAAAGCCCCAAATCACAGGCACATGGCGGCGCTGTGGGTTAAACCGCAGAAGCCTCTGTGCTGCAAGGTTAGAAGACCAGCAGTCGTAAGATTGAATCCACATGACGGAGTGAGCGCCCGTCGCTTTGTCCCAGCTCCTGCCAACCTAGCAGTTCAAAAGCATGTAAAAATGCAAGTAGATAAATAGGTACCACCTTGGTGGGAAGGTAACGGCATTCAATGTCTAGTCGCGCTGACCATGTGACCATGGAAACTGTCTTCGGACAAACGCTAGCTCTATGGCTTGGAAATGGGGATGAGACCGCGCCCTAGAGTCGGACACGACTGGGCTAAATGTCAGGGGAACCTTTACTGTTACTTTACAAATCATTAAGTGAAAACAGCAATGTATGACCTTCAGTCAGATGTGACATGCAGATGTACCACTGTGGATATTTAGGATTAAATACTGTACTCCATTGGAACCACTCTGAGATGTGTGGTTTGAGGACTACAGCATATATTGCTTTAAACATTTCATCCTTGCTCACAGTGGAATACGTGACAATAACAGGATTATGCTACTGACTTCAATAGGATAACAATCCATGCTACTATTGTTCCATCATGCCCAAATGTTTGGGCTGAGAGGGAGCCAAACAATGCCTTAATCAAAACATCCGCACTGGGAGAGAGTGCTTATAACATCCACATTCCCCAAAACAAATCTGCCCATATAATATGTGGCTCACAATCATCCACATTGGTGCATTGCCAGTCAGAGTTCAGGATGGAGCAATAGTATCCAGAATGAATTTAATCCAGAGGAGGCTAAGGGGGATTCACAATTGTTACAATCAGTAGAGATTAATATGATTAACCTTCTCTAGTATGTGCAATTTAGTCTGAAATGAAATGATGAACTATATGAAAAGGAAAATGTGATTTTAAAAATCTTTTTAAAAATCGGATCTATGATTGTCTTTAGATGGACAGACCAATCAGGTTTCACACAATGATATAGTAAAAATGCACAGGTTTTGTGACATAAGCAGCTTGAAGGAATGCAAATATGTAAAAGGCATGTAGATTTGGAAATGACAACCAGTGAATTACCCGAATCAAATACCCAATGTTAATTTTGATCTAAACTATGAATGTTTTTTTTAAATTGACTCAGGCCAAAAGTTATATAGAAAGATTACAAAATCCAGCTCAGATTTCAGTAGCGGAGCTTAATTGCTCGGCAGCTTTGGTGGTCTTATAGTCTGAGGTATCTCAAGTCCTGTGTGCAGAGTCACCTGCAAGAGGGGAAGAAGCAACGAGAATTCAGAACTAAAAATAAAATGCAAAGGAGGAAATCTACATAAGTTTTACAACACTAGGAAATGATTAATTGAAAGGCTTTGTCATTAACTTAGAGCAGGGCAAATGTTAGTTACATTCCCAGCAAGGAAAAGGTTCTTAATGACAGTGGCCATGACTGACACCGTAATGATCTGGAGGAAAGCCTGAGCAAAATATTCAGCATATTTCAGTATACTCAATATGAAGTTGCCCTAGAACATTCTGTCCACAAAGCAGATAAACTATGCAAAACATTTTGTGTATTCTGGATAGTTTCACAGGCAGCACTGAGCAACTTTGACAGGACTGGAAGCAAATTTACCTGCCCCAGATTCTACAGCAGGCTATAACCTTCTGTTCCCGCTTTGTGACCTCAATACTGTATTGAGCAGTGTGTCAGTTACCAGAATTGGAGGTGGGGGTGAGAAAACTGTTGTTGTTGTTTAAATTTGAAAAAAGAAGTACTGGGATCACACACATTAGAAGAATTGCACAACTGGAGGTTGCAATTCCCCTCTAAAGCCATGAACAGCATGTTCTTTTTTCTGTTGCGGGAAGACTGGATGGGTGGCATAAAAATGACCTAAATATTGGTTGTTGTGAGTTTTTCGGGCGCTTTTGCGCTGTTTTTGA